CCGACTGGAATGGCCTCCCGCGGGCCGCCGCGGGGCCTTGGACAACCTCCAGAGGGCATCCTTGACCCACCAGTCGGGCACCTCTCGGCCCGTTGGCCCGCGGGCCCGCGGGCAGGCCCTGCGCGGCGCGCAGTGCAGTGGCGACTCTGGTGGATGGCGGCCCCGCGGCGCGGGTCGCTGCCCCCATGCAGGCGTCGGGACGGTGCAGCAGGCCGTAATTTGGATGTAATGGAGACGGGTGTCGTCGAGCGCGTCGAGTTAGAACGGAAGTGAGGAATTAAAGGCGGTCGCCGGACATGAGGGTCATGCGGGTCCCGGGTGCCGGACCCCGCTGGGGGCTCGGGCCCCTCGGGCCGGCTACCGGCCGCGCTGAAACCCTGCTAGCACCAGGCTGCAAGCCCGCTCCCCAGGCTCCGCTGGCTCCGCCCGCTCCGCCGCTGTACAGTACCGTGGACCACGGCCATCGCCATGGCGACCGCCTCGGCGCGCCGCGTCGCGACGTCTCGCCTCGTCGCCTGTAAAGTGTTTGAACTGCGCGCCTCGACGCGCCGCCAGTCGGCGGGTCGCGCGGGAGCCGGGGGCCTGCTGGAGACGTGCGCCGGGCCGGGCGGGGCCTCCCCTCGTCGTGAGGGTGGTGTGGTATTGGTGGTGGTTGGCGGCACAGGTTCGGGACTAACGGAGGCGTCTTCTCATCTCGTCAGGTATGCCCGGGGAGCGGAAGAGGCGGCGCGTGGACCATGGGGAGGGGGCGGGAGGGACGGCGGGGGGCGCGGAGGCCGTGCTCCCGGACGACCTCCTGGCCGACGTGCCTCTCGCGCAGGCGTTCGTGGCCGTGATCCAGGACCCCAAGCAAACGTCCAGGATCATCCGCACCCTCAACGACGTCCACCCGGTCCCCAAGCTGCAGCACCTGAAGCGGGTGCGCCGGTGTCCAGGCGCGACCGCGTCGGCCCCGCGGTTCAAAGTGCTGCTGGCCTCCGCCGACGACTACCCCTCGGGGGAGGCCTGCCTGGAGGCGCTCGTGGCGGATGGCCTGGACCCGCAGGGGCTCGACGCCGAGGTGATGGCGGCCGAGGTGCCGGGCGCGGCCCCGCGGACGCGCGCTCAGTTCGACGCCGCCGGCCGGTACTGGGCGTGCAACTTCCACGAGGACGCCGCGCTGGAGAAGCTCGTGGCCGGCACCATGTTCACGTCGTCGGAGCTCGAAAAGCACCGCCACTGGATGCAACGCGCCCACGAGGCCGCGGCCCGCGCTCAGCGACGGGGGTCCGAGATGGCGGGCGCCGTCGTCGTGGACCCCGCCAAGGACCTCCTGGTGGCCGTCGCGAGCGACTCGCGGTGCGAGCACCCGCTGCGCCACGCCGCCATGAACGCCGTGGACCTGGTGGCGTGGTCGCAACGCGGCGGCGCGTGGCCCGTCGTAGACGGGGACTTTTTCGAGGAGGACCTCCCGGACAAGCCGCCCCCCGTCGGCACGGTGCGGAACCGCGACGGCGGCGAGGATGAGAAGCCCGTCGGGCCGTACCTGTGCACCGGCTACGACGTGTACCTGACCCGTGAGCCGTGCACCATGTGTGCCATGGCCCTGGTGCACTCCCGGGCCAAGAGGGTCTTTTTCGCCGCCCCCAGCCACGACGGCATCCTGGTGACGCGGGCCAAGCTCCACGCCGTCAAGGAGCTCAACCACCACTACCAGGTGTTCAAGATACCTCCTTTGGACTCCGCAGAGCAGGTGCGCGGACAGGAGTAACCAATCTGGACGACAAAGGGGGGGCCTGGTGAAGGGCGCCAGCCTTTCAAGACTGATACCCGGCCTCCCCCGAGTCGGTCGACGACGCCGAGTCGTGCCGCCCGTTTCACCTGCTCCCGGGCCGGCCGGTTTGTGTTGCGACCGAACGGACATTGTGCCGCGCGCATGTACCTGAGTGTTCTACGTTAATAAAACCGTGTTTGTCTCCTCCCCAATGAACGTTGGTCACGCGATCTTTTCTCCCCTGCTCCCCCCCTCACCACCTCTACACCCTTCACCCTCAGGCGGGGCACCCCAGGGTTAGCCGATAGGGGGCAACACGGCGCGACTTGGGACGGCCTTCCTCTTACACTGCTAAAAATGACCCTCTATCAAAAGACGGCACAGGATTTCCGTACATGATGAGGTCCAGGACATCCGTACTTCTTCACTTTAGTCCCCAAGGGCTCCATCTTGAAAATTCCTGTACTCCGTACTAACACTGTACTCGTGCGAGTACGGAAAGACCAGGCAAGTGCATGATCTATAAGACTGTGATAAATGCTGTGGATTTTTTCTAACAGTGTAAACAAACAGGCTTTTGTTTCAAAATATATTCCGCTTCGCTCACATTTGCAAAGGAGTGCGAGACTCAACCCGCCCACCTGCCCGCCAGGTAGCCGCGCGCGGCCCCAGGACCCGGCTGCTGCTTTCTTTGTACCTGGTCGCTAATGCCTGGTTAGGCCCGCCCAAAAGATTGGACAACACCCGCCAAAAAAGAAATCCGCATCCTGACTGCTTGGTGCTGCTGCTGCTACCCGAACAAAGGGTTCGTCCAGAAAGTACCCGTCCGTCATTATGATTCGATGTGGCGAACCTGTGAAAGTTCAGCCAGCCGAAGCAAGCTCTCATAGCGCCTGATAGGTAGGCAACATCGAGTCTGCAGTGCATGCGTGTATGGCGGGGTGGCCTACCCCGAGTTTCGCAGGCGCTGAACGATCCCCAGCGGCTCTCCGACGGGAAACGTGATGAAATTGTGACCCCAAATTTCTGCAGAGGGGTCACTTTGGCCGCACTTGGAGGCGAGCAGGCGACGGCCGGGCGGTCCAACCGACAACGGAAGCTGATTTTGACGTGACGGGATGGAGCCGTCGTCGCGGATGGAGGTGGGGGTCGCTCCCGTGACGTCAGGCGGCAATTGGCCGACTAACAAGGCCTGGCCAGAGTCCGGGAAGGAGACGCGACGCTGTGAAGAGAGGGGGGGGGCGCCCTGAGCCGCCAATGAGGCGAATTTCGTTCCCCCGGCCCGCGGGCCATTCCCTCTGAAACTGTTTAATTGTGATACTTTTGACGAATGTCGCGTTGGTGTGAGTGCCCGGCATGTGTTGGTACTTTTTGGGGGGAGAGTGCTCTTCTCGGGCTGCCAACTTCATTCATCGGCCGCACTTCCCCCTCCTCCTGTTCCCCGCCGTAGCACCGCAGAGGCAGTCTTGCCAACAGCCCAAAGGGAAAGATAGCGTCGTCGACATCCCTGGCCAGTGCTCGCAACCTAGAGCCACGTCGCCGTCCCCACGTACAGTTGTGTTGGTCGCCGTCGCCGTGGAGATGATCAGCCCCGCCATCATGTCTGACCTTTTCAGTTAGCGCGCGCGGGGTTGCCAAGTACTTGAATCGAAATTCTCTCCCACCCCCTCCTCTCCTCTCCCTCCCTTCGCGCACCCTGCCACCGCCCGCCCGACAGAA